CAGTTTTCCATGACTATAATAGGTCAATCTCCTGAATCTGGTTTTATGCATCTCTCTCTGTGTGTGGTTACTTTTTGTTAAAAGAACATGCTCACCTTTTGTCTTCAAAAACAATCTTCTTAAGCCAATAGAGTGTGCCATTAGGAAATCAATGGAAAATTGGTAATGATTGAAGAGGACATCTTGAACTTGAGAACGGGCAAGGTGTTATTTTGGTAATGGCAAATTAGTCAGGTATTAATTAATTGTTCAACTAAGATGTGAAAGAACTCAGCATTCCTCTATATTATCAATTGATCCATCAGGCAACAGCTGCTTTCAGTGTCAAATAGACACAAATACTGCATTATCAATTGATAGCAACAGTGGAATTCTAGATCTGCCTAAATGAATTTTCTGAAACATCTCAACTTGCTTCTTGTAATTTCTCCGACAGTGGAAGCACCAGCTTCTTCATCTGTATGATAACCTGCTGCAGGTCAGACATAAATTAGCTAAAGATGTTGGCACATCCTTTTCTACAGAAGAAGCAAATATATGATTGAAAGGTTGAACATCATTTTGCTTACTTCTGAATATGGGGTGTAGTGTAGAATGCAGAAACTCTTAAGAATCATCCAGAATATCTCGCCATAGTTAAGTAAGGAATCTATATATTTCTTGCAACCTCAATTTTCCCATGGCTGATATGTACAGAACTTGGGATTACTTTGAATCTTTTGGACTTCCTTTGCCTATTTGATTCAGTGTGTGGAAAACTTTGTTACCTTCACTTGCTAACGATCTTTATTTTATCATATCAGGCTTTAGTTCCTAGAGCTTTCCCATTTTCATCTCTCATTTGGAAGCTGAAGTCCCCAAGTAACTACAAAGGGCAGCCCGGTGCACTAAGCTCCCGCTATGTGCAGGGTCCGGGGAAGGGCCGGACCATAAGGGTCGATTGTACGCAATAATCATCATTTCTTGGCAGGTTGAGCACTAATGATCTTTTACAGTAATTTAGACTGTATAAAGCTTGTTCTCCAGTTTCCACTAAAATCACCACCTCCAAATTTAGTTCCTAAGCTGTCGACAGCCAGATTGCTATCATACAAGCTTTTCTGCTACTTGGAGGATTGTTCAAACTTGTTTGTCATGGACTCATAGTCTTCTGGGGATTTGGAGTGTAAAGATTCTAAAGGGAACACTTTTTGGAAGGCTGCTGTATTGACAACTGTTGGTGCTTTGCAGTATCACAAGAGCATTATGCTGCCTTTAGGATCTCTATCTAAAGTGGTTTAAGTTGCATTTATTTGGTGTAAAGCGCATGAGTACTCTATCGTTGAGTGGTCTGCCCTGAGACTGGATATTCTTTGAAGGCCTCAAAGTATACAGCTTCTGGCAATGTGTGTTAGGAATGCCAAAAGTTTTGGGAGACTAAAGAATGTATTGTGAGTTGTGAAAAAGTGTAGCACTGGTATAGGGGAGTGGATTCGACAATGGTTCAATCTTTGATGCAGGAAATATTTGTGCTTTGCATATACAGTTTTCTGCTTTCTCAAGAGTTTCTGCGAAATGTAGTGCATCATTCAGTCTAATGTGTACACATTGCAGTTTATTCACTAAAGTCAAAGCCACGGGCATTTCATTTTGATGAATTGTTTGGTTATCCCAGTTGCATATGATGGTTTTGATGTTCTTCTGCTTTGGAGGTTATAGTATATCACAAAAATCATCACATGCAGTTGAGCTATATCACTGGGAATTAAAAGGTAGCTCTGTTGGGAAATGAACGTGGTTGCTTGTTCTCTTTCCCATTACTTCCTAAACTGATAAGTTGTTTCAAGGGCATAAGGTTCTATCCTTGTCACAACTGGCTGGATAATTTTCGATCTCTACCTTGCTTCAGCAGCAGCCTTTGTAACATCCTCTGCATTTAGTCGTGCTAATGTATGTGGACTGATTTTCACAGAAGCAGGCTTCTTTTTCTTGATTGGTTCATCCACTATTGTATGTTTACAAAATGAACTGACTGACAAACTGCAGGGAACCATAAGACTACTAAAACATTTTGTCTTTTAAAATAGCATATACTGTGGTTTTGCTGGACTCTTCTCCATTGAACTTCTAGGTACTTAGTTTTAGACATAAAAACCCTTGATTAACCAAACCAAGATAGATTAAAAAAAAAAAAAGATAGAGAATGACATTGGCTGAAATGTTAATCCCTACTAGACAATATTTTGAAACGTCACAGCATGACATAAGGGCAAGACGCCAGAACACTCACCACCATAATAACAAAGGGAACAATAGAGAAACTGCTTCCTAGTATGGAGGTGATGTGATGTCCCTGGAGGCTGGAGGATTTCTTCTTCTCAATAAAGCATCAGATTAGCACAAAGATTCCAGTTGATCGCTCAAGTATAAGCTGCAATCTCAAGTCCAAAGTGAAAAAACCATATATAGACCTCCGAATTGTCAATTAATGAGAATTGTACAAAAATGACATGTTCAATCTTTGTAATGTCTCTATGTTTGAGCATGTTTTATTCCAGAATTGGTTTTTGTTGTTATTACTGCTTGTTACAACTACTTTCTTTTCATCTTTTCTTGAGACGAGGATCTATCGGAAACAACCTCTCTACTTTCTAGGTAGGGGCAAGGTCTGCGTACATACTACCCTTCCCAGATTCCACTTGTGGGATTATATTGGGTTTGTTGTTTTTACTAATTTTCCAAGCACAAGATTAGAACTAGAAGGTGTCTTAAAAGGGAAGTTCTCATGATATAGTAGAGTAAGATGGAAACCAATTACCAAAAACCAATCTCTAGCATAGTGAAAAACTAGTAAGCAGTTGAACTGTGATGACCAGCTAAAGTTCCAGCAAGGACTCCGAACAGAACATTCCTACTTTATAAGTGGTACTCCCTTCGTCTCAAATTATCTATCGTAATTTCTAAAAATACTTGTCTCAAATTAGATAGGATCTTCATCCCCAAGGGCGGGCTTATAGGTGAAAAGTTCATTACTTAGCCTAGAATTCTTGAGATTGAATTCCACTTCCCTCTGTGGGAGTATTTTAAAATTTTTAAATAGACATGTATTCTTTTAATTTTACAAGTGGTCATGAATATCGACCATGTGGCCTTTTGCATGAAGATATATGGCCAAATGGCAAAGCCATAAACAAGTGGTAGAGGAGACATTACACTTGTCTCTTTGCATGGAATGTTTTTGACAAGTAGATGAACACTTGTCTATCTTCTTACACAATTCTACAACTATAAATACCCACTTCCTATACCATCCGAAAATACCAACAAATACTTTGCTCTCTCATAATTGCTAATGATTAGTAATAATCACTACAAGCCTTCTCTTTTTTCAATTACGTGTAGCCTTTTGTGTGTTCCAGTTTCTTTTATGACCTGTGTTTATTTCCTCATTCCAAACTTGCTGGATTTATTATTAATATTTTGTTGATTTCTGTATCCTCTAAATAACTAGAGATGGGCTTGTTTAATCCTGGGAAACATTTCACATTGCTGAAATAGTTTCTTAGGACAGTGTCCAGCACGACTCAAGTCAATTCACGTATTTTCGCTTACAAATATTATTGTAGTATTATTGTTGTTATTTTCCCATGTAATTTCCCTACAATCTAAGAAACTATTGCAAGTAATACTACTGCGGAAATTTTGATGGTGCTACCAATTTTGGTGTTGTCTCTGTTGCTACTGTTCCAGTTGTCCTGCCAGATATCCATGGTGTTGCAAATACATTATTGCATCCACAACTTTGGCAGACACTAATGTCAAAATACAGGTATGTAGATAGACATGGTTACATATCTAATGCTAATATTAAAACCTTCAAGAAAAATGCACCTCAATGCAAGAGAGAGCTGGGATAAATCACAATCTCACTAAGTCAAAATTAAATTTGACTAAAGCGGATAATATAATTGTTGCGGTCATTTCCCAAATAAACAATGTGGCCAGTGTGAGAGATTGGGTGATAGACTCTGGTGCTACTAGGCACATATGTGCAAACAAAAATAAATTTTTGTCTTACACCCAAGTTGAGGAAGGAGAAGAAGCTATTTATCTTGGTGACTCAAGAACAACTCGTGTTCCTGGGAAAGGAAAAATTCTTCTCAAACTCACATCTGGTAAAACTCTAGCATTGAGTGATGTATTGCATGTTCCTCATATCCAAACCAATTTGGTTTCTGTGGGGTTATTAGGAAAAGTTGGAGTGAAGGTTTCATTTGAAAATAATGAGGCCGTATTGACCAAAGATGATATTTTTGTGGGCAATGAATATTGTAACCATGGTTTATTTGTGCTTAATATTTCCGATACTAACAATAAAAATGGATCTTCTTCTGCTTATATGGTTGAGTCAATTTCTTTGTGGCATGCTAGACTAGGACATGTTAATGTCGCGTATATAAAGAAAATGCAGTCACTAGGATTAATATCTAGTTTGGACTCAAATATTATTAACAAGTGTGAAATATGTGCTGAAGCTAAAAGTACTAGAAAGACTTATTTTTCCGTAAATAGAGAAACTGAACTGTTATCCTTGATTCACACTGAATTAGGCGATTTAAAGCAGACTATGACTAGAGGTGGTAAAAGATATTATGTGACTTTTA